AAACAACTCTAGAACCAGAAAGAGGATAACTCTAGAACTTCCTGTATAAAAAGCTGGTGAGATGGGATGGGATCTACACAAACACACCATAAAAAAACACTTGTGACCCCTTGTTTTATTTACTCCTCACATTACGTAAAAAGTGCTGGTGCAGACCAATGATTACTAGGACTATCACCACAATATTTAACAATTTTTTAAAAACACACATGACATTTAATGTCAAACCAGTTTTTGTCATATTTTATTATCAGTGAAACTGGGATGTCTCATACTTGGTGGTCTCCCATAGCTGCTGCAGCCCCTGCACCCAGGACATGCTTTCTCCTCCCTTCACATACGTGGAGGCCATAGCGCTCCTACNCCCTGCACCCAGGACATGCTTTCTCCTCCCTTCACATACGTGGAGGCCATAGCGCTCCTACACTCCTCACTTAGGATGAGTCACGGGCACTGTTGATTCTATTCAGGCTGGGTTTAACCACCATTCAAAATGTCTCCAGAAAGAGTTCGCTATGATTCTTTTCATCAAAATGAAAAGTTATTGTATACACTCTTCCTACGTACAGAAAGACATAGGAAGAGAGCAGCAGGGGGTAATTTAACATTCATGAATCAAATACTCATCACTGGAGGAATGACTGCAATTCCATATTTTCTTGTAAGGCAACAATCAAATGCTTTATGAAACCTTAGAAAGGAAGATCCCTACCAGTGGGTGAAGCTGTGAAAAGGAACGAATTGAAATGGCCCTGAAAAAGGCTGCCTGACACATGCCCAGCAATGCAACTGAAGGCAGGACCATGACAAAAATTTCAAGGCAATGAGCATCCTAGTACCGGAACATTTCTTCTGACTCTAGCAGAAGGTGCATAAATTCCAATGACAAACTCAAGAGAAACAGAAAGTATGAGTTGTCAAATAGGAAAGTGTCATCATCAAAATGTGCAGAATAGGATCTTAAGTGACATGAAGGCATGTGTCATACTATAATCAGCAGTGTTTCCTTCTTTCTTGATGACATCAAATAATGTAAACCTTGACTGCAGCATCTTAGATTCAGTGAAATATGATTTTTCTACCCTTGCCTTAAGAAGCTCTAACACAGGAAAACAAAAGGCGTCACAGACAAGTATACTACTAAAATACAACAGAAATTCCTTTTTAACAATGAGCTCCCACATAGTATTTAATTCTTTATAGCT